TATATATATATATATATATATATATATATATATATATATATAAACAATTTAAAGATTACAAAACTCCAAAATATGTGTCCCATGAAAACACAAAACTTGAAGAATCTTTTTTATTAGAATATAAAAACATCCAAGATTTTATTGTAATTATTTAATAAATAAAAAAATTGCCATTTGCACCCTCACACTTCACCCCCCTTGCTTGCCTTGTAATCCAAAAATATTAAGAGGTGGGAAGATCTTTGGATGAAATCTGGTCAGATCTTGCTTTCTGGGTTGTGGATTTTGGTGGGTCTTTCCTTCACATAAAAACTTCCATCTTCCCAACCCCTTTTTTCCCACTTCAATTCTCTCTAAACCCCCATCTTTTCTGCTTCCAATCTCTTCATTTTCTTTGAAATCTGTCATCTTCTTCATATGGGTGTTGCAGCAGATTCACAGTTTCATGTTCTTGCTGTTGATGACAGCATCATTGATAGAAAACTGATTGAAAGATTGCTCAAAACCTCATCTTTTCAAGGTAATTTGACACTTTCATGTTCTTCCCTTTTTTATTCTAATGCTTTTGAGTTCAGGATTTCAATGTTTCGTTTTCCATTTATGTGTTTGCAGTTACCACTGTGGATTCTGGAAGTAAAGCTTTGGAATTTCTTGGATTACATGAAGAAGATGAAGACATGAACTCCAATCAACCCTCTGTGTCTCCCAATATTCATCAGGTATTCAATCTTTGATGATTTTGATTCCATTTTTATTTGTGTTTGAATACAATTTGAATGATTGTTCATGAAAATATGTGTCGAATTTTATGCAGGAAGTAGAAGTGAATCTAATAATCACGGATTATTGTATGCCTGGAATGACGGGCTATGATTTGCTCAAGAAAGTTAAGGTATGATACAATCCAATAATCGTAGATAGTTATATTACTCGGTTTCAAATTGAAACCGAATCACAAGACTTTGACAACCGAACCAAACTGAGCTTTTAAAACTGAATTCAGTTTGGTTCAGTTACGAAGTCCCATGTTTTCAATGGGTAGGAGTGGAAAGGGGGTCAAGAGAGAACACTAAAAAAAAGAGAAAGGACGAATCCGTCTATCTATCGTAATCCAACGTTTGTGAATAATATGAACGGTTACATTTTACCAAAAGAAAGTCTACACTAATTTATTCGAATCTGAACCGTCTATTTTTTTAGATCAAACGGTCATATGGGTTCCTTGTTGATTCTTCCTTTGCATAAAAGATACTCGCGCAGAACCAATTTTACGTATGAATCAAGGTCCGAGTCAAGCTTGTAGACCTTGTTAGTTTGGTCTTCATCTATTTCTAACGCTTATAACTAGCTAATTCTGCGATAACTGTCTATATGGTTTCTAAATTATTAGTTATTGACTTTTTTACAGAATTCTTCGTCTCTAAAGGACATACCCGTGGTCATTATGTCATCGGAAAACGTTCCTTCGAGGATCAACAGGTAAACCATACATTTATTTGATCACTCTGACTTTATTTCACAAAAACAACTGCTCTACTCTTTGGAATAGAGGTCGAGTCTACATACATCCAAATATACTGGTTCGTTTGGTTTGAACCAAAAAAATTTCTTTCGGACCTAACGTAAATTTCATTTGGATTATAGATGTTTAGAAGAAGGAGCAGATGAATTTTTCTTGAAACCGGTGAGATTATCGGATGTAAATAAATTGAAACCCCATATGATGCGAATGAAAATAAAAGAAACCGATCATCAAGAACAGAATCAAGAATCGAAAACCCGAGATAAAGAAGAAGAAATTGAATCACAACAACAATCAAACGGGAACAAGAGAAAATCCATGGAAGAAGGAGATATTACGAGACAAAACAAAACCCAGATTCAATGGTGGCCATACTGTAGATTTGACTAATTTTGACTTTTTTTTTTCTTTTCCTTCCAATTTTGTTGTCTGATTTTTACTTTTTTTTTCTTGACCTAATTTTTTTTTTTTACATTCGAGTTACAAAAATGGTTGTAAAGAGCAATGTAAGAAAGCATTTCAATCAAGATTTATACATAGTTTTACTTGAACATAACAACATCATTAATTCAAGTGAACTGTCGGACTTTTTTATATTAGAGGTCATGTTTCTGTACATCTCACTCTCATACCCTGTTTTCAACTGGGATTTACCGGTAAAGTACCGAGCAATCTCCCAACCAAATGATCTTTGGCTCAGAGGTATTTGGACTTCTGGGTCTCTATGGAGGTCAGGGGTTCAAATTTCATCAAAGATAAAAAAGATGTATAAGTTCTTGTATTGTATTTATCGTATATAAATATTATATACTTAAAACGGTCAATCTTTTAAAAAATCAGAGGTTTGAATCCGATCAAATATAAAAGTTACATGTGAGTATTTGTTTATGTACTAAAAAAAAACACATTTAATAATGAGGATGGATCAAGCCAAGCTGGAAGCTAATCATGAAAGATTTGTATAATTGTATGTGTCCAGGAGAAATGAGATGGTGAGGTTCAACCCCACAAGACATTTTGGCTGCTTCTTTTTTTCCCAAAAGACTTTGACTTTGACTTGGTCAACTTTGTTCATCTTCGATTTTTTTTATTAACCTGGATATCCAACCCGTTATGTAAGCCAACTAATCTCAGGACAACCACCTATTTTGCAGATAGCCCGGAGTCACCGCATTTGAACATTCGTGGCCACAAGGGAATTTTTATTTCTCCTTGGATTTGAACATCGGATCTCCTTGTACTTTTGATTTTTGGAGTCAAGCTCAAATCAATCAGACACCACCTTTGTGGTTCATCTTCAATTTTTAGTGGAGTTTACACAATATATGAATGTTTACATATATTTTACTTATGATTTCTATTGGATAGGATTAACTGGTTTGATATGGTGTGGTTGATATTAATAAAACTGGTATAAATATAAGTATGAGAATATCAATATATATCAAGAAGGAATAAAAATATTCTTGTGGACAAGTTGGTTTAAATGTGATGAATCCGAGCAATCCGTAAAGCAGGTGGTTGTTCTGAGATTAGTCAGTTTGCATAGTGGGTTGAGTAGGAAAAAAAATACATATTTGATCGATCGTTTTATATGAATATGTAATTGAAAAAACATAAAGACGTGATGAGAAGGTTATTATTTATTTTTATTTATTTATTTAGTGTAGAGATGGCCAAAAATCGGTCCCGGGCCGGGCCTTAGCCGGTTACGGCCGGTCCTAATCGGGACAAAAACCGTCTATAACCGGTCCCGGTCCCGGTTCCGATGAAAAACACTATAACCGGTCAAGCTTGCCCATAACCGGTTACGCCGTCTGGTCCCGGTTCCGGTCCCATAACCGGTTACGGCCGGTCCTTTGCAAAAAAAATATTTTTTTTTTCAAATTTTTGGTAATTAATAAATTTATATACATATATATATATATATATATATATATATATATATATATATAGACTTGGGATCATGTGAAACCAGCATGTTTTCGTAAGACCCGTGAGACCAACATTTTACATTTGAAACTTCACAGCAAAATGTTGTGAAGGTGACTTTTTAAAACCTTCACAGTGTTTTTGCTGTGAAGGTTCAACTTTTTTTAAACCTACACAGTGTTTTTGCTGTGAAGGTTACGTGTAAAAATGTGGTCTCACGGGTCTCACGAAAACAGGCTGGTCTCACGTGAACCCAACACTATATATATATATATACGTTTAATTTTATAAATACGTTTTGTTATATATATATATATAACAAAACATATTTTTAAACGTATTTATAAAATTAAACGTATTTATTTTTAATATGTTTGTAATATGTTATTTTTAATATGTTTTATATAAATACGTTTTATTATAAATACGTTTAAAAATATGTTTTGTTATATATGTATACGTTTAATTTTATAAATACGTTTTGTTATATATATATATATATATATATATATATACACGTTGACTTTTGTTGACCGGGCCGGGCCGGTCCTATAGCCGGTTACATAACCGGTTCCGGTCTTAACCGGTCTCGGTCCTAAAAAACGTTAAAATTCATAACCGGTTCATAACCGGCGGTCCACAACCGGTCCATACCGGTCCCGGTTCCGGTTCTCCGACGATGACGGGGCAGGCCGGGCACATTTGGCCATCTCTAATTTAGTGGATAAAGAAAAATATGTTGGCCCATTTATTAACTCATAGTTGGGCTTGAAAGCCCATGAATATGAAACCATGTTGGCCCTTCAACAAATAGGCAAGAGTCATGTCACATGTGTTATGTTGCTTATTTCATTTCAAATAAGTTTTTATTTTTTATTTTACAGTTGTTTTATACAACTGGGTCCCGTATTTTCTAGCTCTGCTTCTAAAATAATATGAAAAAGAAGTACGGGAGGAGACGCAGATACATAGATCTTGTTTGTCGTTTTTTGAGAGACAAGTGGATCGTTTTTTCTTCAAACATGACATCATCATAACTTAGTTTGTTGGACCATCTTTATACATTGTGTTAGAACTAAAATTCAGTGTAAAATTGTATTCGTCTTGACAATTAATTTTGTCTATAATTGTATAAAAGTCATCGAGTTTGACTTTTCTTAGAGAGTTTGACTTTGACTTTGTTGAAGGTGTTTGACCCTATATAAAGGGTGAGGTGCTTGTATTTTGGTTAAGGATGCTTATTGAAAATATCAGATACGTAATAATAGTTTGACCAAGATTGGGTTGTTGACTTTCTCTCTCTCATCTTCTTCATAGTGTTCTTATATGAAAATCATCTCTGCCATTGTTGATTTGAACGATTAGTGGAAGATTGATTATTTTAGGGACTAATACATTGTAACTAATATGTCAACCCATATGAAACGAGATAGATCGGGTGTTTTAAAATTTTATCTTATTAATTGATGAAACCTTTGAAAAAGAGGCTAAACCAAACGACAAATCCTTATTACAACATCATTCCATGGATCCACCCGAACTAACGAACCATGTTCATGTCTCACGTAAAAAAGAGATCTCTTATTTTCTTTATGTTGTCAGGCACGAAAAGCCTGAAAGACGGGGATAACGGATTTCTTCGAAAGAAAAGAATAGAAAATGATATTGTTTATGGTACACAAAACTCATGTAAACGATCTGAATTTGTATCATATGAATTCTTCACTCTCAACATTTTTCCCTATTTAAATGATAATTTAATTATAAATTAAATACGTTTATTATTTAATCTTCTTATTCAGTTGCATTCTTTGCATATGGTCGATTAAGTCCATGTCAAATTTATAATTATAGACGAAGAGTAACATCTAACAATAAATCATCTCCCAATTGACAAGGATTAATGATTCAACCAATCATCGATTTCGTGGTCATTAGTGGGGTATACGTTGGATCCATTTGTCCTTAATGTTTAGATTTGACCCGAGTCATGGATATGTCATCCACTTTAGATCCAATTCATAATTTCTCAAAAATCCTTGATGTATTGACAAGACATATATCGACTATCTGACCAGTAAGAATGCATATGTTTCCTTGGTTTCATTCTACCAAGACGCCTAGAGACGTCACTTGGACCATACGAGATAGACAAACTTTAATTATGGTATCATCACATACCGAACGTTTTTTGTCTCACTTAGTTACTGTGTAATTAGATCTAGATCAAAAATGTTTGACTTGATATTGGTTAACTTCAATATCATCACGTCAAAGGACGTCATTGTGCTATGACCATATGCAGAACATTTTTTATACTCATATGATATCTTATTTACTGCTTTCAGGTTTATTCTATCCAGTATAGAAGTTCACCAAATTATACTCATATGTGAACTTCATATCAACTATATGCAGTGGCGGATGCAGAAAAATATATTGTAGGGGGCATGATATAAAATAACATAATAATTAACTTCAACTTCATACAAAAATGATAAAAAAAAAATTACCTCTTACAACTGTGTCCTACAACTCTTCATCTTTTGAAATTGAGTAATTACATCATCATTTGAAACTGTGAGAAGTGCTTCTTTTTCTATAGTACATATTATTGCAGCATTCAAAAATTCATCACCGATTTTGTTGCGCAAATCTGACTTCACAAGCTTCATAGCAAAAAAACATATTTCGACTGTTGCAGTAGCAACTGGCAAAACCAAAGCCAACTTCAATAACCGATATACTAGAGGATAAGTTTTATGTTTTTTTGTTTCCACTAGCAGTCTAGCGAGCTCGGCAATACCACTCAAATTGACAAATCTTTCATCTTGACGCACAATCAAATAGTATATGTTAAGTTGTTTCTTAAAAGCGATCCTTTCCATATGGCTAAAATCTTGAGGATACAACTCACTCAACTTCAATAAATCTGATACATTGAACTACGAAAATGAATCGCATGGACTCAAAGCTGCTATATTTTTAAGCAATTCAGTACTTACCTCACTAAATCGATCCCCAAACTCTTGAATTTGCATGTCCATAACAGTGTTGAAAATATTAAACTTGTAATAATGACAATTGGTGATGTTGGTCCTTTGTCTTAGGTTTTTTGAATAACGGTCTTCCATATCCAAAGCCTTAATACCATTTGTTTCACAAAATATAATATTTTTCCTTCAAAAGTGGATCAAAACCAGTTTTTCCTATCGGTTGGATCCCAAGGAAGATCGTTCAAATCAATTTCGCAAGGCATCGAAGGAGCGGAGCTCGATTCAGGTGTTGATGCTTTCCTTTTTAAAAAAATTTCCATTTTTTTCTAGCAATAACAATAACAAGATAAAAATCAATGGTTTAGTAACATTTCTATTTGCCTACAAAATTAACCTAACATTTGACATTTTTATTTGATTTGCCTACAAAATTAACCTATCATTTGATATTTCCATTTGATTTGCCTACAAAATTGCCTACAAAATTAACCTAACCTAAAGCATTTACCAAATCACCAATAAGCAAACAACAAAATCAAAGAAGTAATCAAAATTAAAGACTGAATTTTGGAAATTAGAATTTTTACCCAAATTATTAGAGTTGCTTTGCTTCAATCGAATCAGTCCAGTGACTCCACTCCAGTCCACTG